AGAAAAGCCRAGAAGGAGAACTCTAAATAGGATTTTTGGTTCTCTTTGACCATTCAGTTTCACCTTCCAAGTCTCAGATCTGCTCAAGGGTCAGATCTACTTGACAAAAAGTTCCAGTTCAAATTCATATTTGTTAAAGATTCCTTTTTAGCCACAGCATTTATTCTGTAACCAGGAATTCAGCTTCAGCCTCTTAGTTTGGTGGCTTTAGCAGGGAGAAGCAGAGCTCTAGGTAACAAGATTAGGAATTTGGGATTTTTTTTTCAATTAAAGGCTAGAAAAACAAAGTTTCTCCTTTTTTTTTTTTTTTTTCCCTCATGAAGAGTACAACAGTGGTTGTACTTTTAGCAAGATATGAACTGGTTTAATAAGACAATCCTGCTGGGCTCCTTCCACAGTCAGTAGAGACCTACCCAGCCCAGAGAATCAAATCATTAATACWGTTTATTTCATGTTAAACAACAGGTTTAAAATGGGTAAATCTCAATTTATGGCCTGTTTCTTACCATTGCTGGCATGGGGTGCAAGAAAAAAGGCACACAGCTATTTTGTTAACCTCAAAAAATAGAGAAAATACTAAAAGACAGTTTTGCTGAGAACAACCTGTGCTTTTTCTGTGTCTGGATGAGAAGGGTGAATAATTCTGCCTGCACCCAATGGGTCAGAGCTGCAGCTACTGCAGCAGGGTGTAATTGTAGGGTCTGTTTGCTGCCCACAGAACGAGTTCAGATTTCCAAACTGTTTCYGGGGGGTTTGTAAATGAAGTTGGTGTTTTGGAAGGGTAACCAGTGCAGCTTCAGGAAATCCTCAGCTACTGAGCAGCAAGGAAAAAAGTCCACCAGCCTAGAGCAGTACCAGCTGAGGGGAAGTGGGTATGTGATATAAATAATATATYATATGGATCCACATTTCAATTTTCTCCTCTCTCTCCCATACAATCTCTCTGCTTCCACTTTGGTTAACTTTTTACTGTATTTTCAACACTTTWTTTCATTGATTTGTTTCTACATTCCTCCTCTTGCTACTACACGGTTGCCAATCCTACTCATGGTGAGGTTACACAGAATTAACTCGAGCAGGGTGCACAAAGATCCTCAAYGAGGCTCACTTTTAATTTGCATGAATCAAGTCCTGCGTTCATTGAGTTTCCCAAAGGATTCCCCTTCGGGATTGAGACAAGGCACAAATTCCATCATTCCCTGTGTGTCGGGAGCGACCTCGATTCAGAGCCCTGACAATTTTCATTCTGGATTTACTTCCCCCGGACCAGCATGCTCTTAAGCACCTCTGAGACACCCACAAAGGCTTTAGAAGGGAATTGCAGCTCCTTTCACCTCAGATTCATGTTCTCTCTCATTTGCATTGACTCGCCAGAYGTCCAGGCGCTCAGTCTGATGCGGTGGCCTTCAGCCACATCATCCATCGCTCATTTCACCCCGGGAATGTTTAACTTTTTCTCTCCCCTTCCACCCTAGCACCCTCCCTCTTCCTCCCAGATGCAGCTGCAGTCCCTGCCCAGGACACTTGCGGTGAGACTCGGCTTGTTTGCCTTTAGCTGTCTAAGTCTCGTGCTCGATCTGAGCAGTCCAGTCGTCGTCTTTGGTGGCACGGGGAGACCAGGGCACCTCCGGCAGACAGAGCATCCCCTGTTCCTTAGATGTCTCTGTCACACAGAGCAGCAAAGCCTGGAAGTGCCTGTTCTTTCCATGGCTGAGTGAGTTTGAGGTGATAGCTCAGTTTGGAATTTGTCTTTGGCACGCAGAGTCAGATGTGACCGATTCCATTCTCTGTGTGCCTACACAGGTCTGAGGATCCTGCCCTGATTCGTGGAGTGTTTTCATAGCCATGATCTCATTTCTATTCATTTTCCTATATTTGTCTATTTTTACCTTTTTTTTTTTTTTTTTNTTTTTTTTTTGCAGATAATAATACACTGTATTTTTTGGTTCCTCTGTTTAAAACAAAATTACAGTTTCCTAGATTTTGAAGATAAGCTGGAGCACCTAAATGAAAGGGCTTTCTTCGGTGCTGTCTGTATCCAGCCTGGCTTTCCGTGAGCTGCACGAGGGAGAAATATTTCCAAGGCACCAGTGGTTGCCATATCCTGTATGCAAAAAGATTCCATAAATGTCTGAAAACAGATGGAATGCAACTTTGGAGGAATAAATGGATTTTTAATTTTCTGAACATTTTGGATTCCATCTGGTTGAAGTAACTAAGTGACCTACTAGAATACTTTTACCTTCCTTGTATAATACATAGAAATACAGTTTGCATTGCTGTTGACTGACACATTCCCCGTTAGTTCATGGGGTTTACTTTCTCATACATTTGCTTATTTTTAATTCTTTTGCCTGTATGTCAGGGCATACCTGATGCACTTTTTTCTGCATGTCAAATCCAAATGTTGGCCCTCTCTCAGATTATGGTTTATCCTTGCAGCTGGCAAGGAGAAGCACTAAACCACCTGCCTAAGCCCACCTGACAGTACTGTGAGTCTAAAGAGGTAACATATCTTAGACTTGTCTCCTTTTTTTTTTTTTTTTTTTTTTTTTTTTTTTCTGCTTCCTTCCTGCCTCCTCTGTCTCTTCTCTCTTTCTCCCTTTCCTTCCACCAATGTCTCCACTTTGAAAATAAATAAAAAAAGTTTGCAAAATAAAAGGGGAGGGAGAAAGGAAAGAAAATATCTGTAAATTCTGTATTCTAAAGATTTGGGACTTCACACCATCTAACATCAGAGAGATGACTCTGTCTAAATTAGAAAGGATGGAAGAAACAAAAAGTGCAAACTACACTAAATTATTAATGTTTTCTTACAAAGTGGCAGCAATGTTTCCATCACAAGCCCATGCACCAATGTCCCATCATCGGATGGGAAACAGCAGTTAATCCTTAGGTATTATTTTTAAAATCAAGTCTGTTTTTTAATTAATTCCAGTAAATKGCAAGTATTATTACTTTAGGTCTACTCACTAGGAAAACCTGTAAAACAAATCAACCCCTGTCAAATAAAACACGGCATAAGCAGTAAAGGAAACATGGATGGGAATTTATTTCTAAATTGCCATGGCAACATTAAGCATAGAATTGAGGAACTTAACCTCCTAAAACCCCATGGCTAAGAGTTTTTGAAGTGATTATTGATTTTTARATGTTTAATTTTCGGGTTCTGTGCCTTAAACTGCCTTCACAAGTGCTTCTTTTCTACACAGGCTGAGCAGCCCTCTTGTGGTCAAAATTGGTCTGAGAAATGAGTTTCAGATCAAATAAATAAGTGGCACTCAAAATCCATAGTCACTTCTGAAAGCCTCAAGCACAGCAAAAAGGAACTGTCTCTGAAACCTCCTTCCTCCTTTTTGATCAAGCTTGACTGRCAATTAATGCCCAACTCATCTCTGTGAAAAACAGCTGGTGCAAAAATTTAGTACAGAAATTACGGTGTGAAAGGAACAATATTTTTTATATTTATTTCCTTAGCAACATCCAAGAAATTAAATTTATTTTACCAGTTGAAACATGTAAACGTGTTTCAATTACTATTACCATTTCTATTTGTTGGATGTGTGCATGCCACAATAGTGTGTTCTTTCCAGCTCTCGTGCTATATTTAATAACAACACAGTTTTCAGCGTTTGATTATCCAAAAGCAAACAAAACAAAACTCCATTARTGGGGATTGACTAAAAGGAGTTAAAAGTGGGGAGAAATTTGACGTGTTTTCAGTTTATCCTGGTTCACTGTTTGGATTGTAAGTTCCATGAGTTGTGAACACAAATCTTAGACTGTGAAACGGAAACAGAATTTGGGGTTTTTGAGCAAATGTAAATATTTGCCTGGAAGGCAATTGCTTTAAAAATCAACATATTATCCTTTATACCTACTCAGGGGTGTTTGGTGTTCATGCCATCCTAAAGTGGACATCTAAAACTGGTCAGATGTACCCTGGCCAATAAACTTCTGTTTCTCTCCCAAATATTTATTATGATGATTCTCAATGCCCTAAGGATGTCTTGTTTACTTAGACATATAAACTATATTACTATATTGTTACTATATTGTTATAAACTATATGTTACTATACTGTAAACATCCAACCTTTCATGAGGTGAATCCCACCAAAACAACCATGTGTTGAAAATAAAAACTCCCCCCTTGAAAGTAGGTAATAAATCACTATTTTCAATTTTCATGTTTTTCAGCACAGGTGTAAAATCTCTTACAGGATCCTTCCAAATGCCTTCCCATATTTCAGATTACCTTTCTTGGTGGCTAATTTAAATTAGCCTCTGCTGGCTGGTTGCAAATGGAATTGTTTTGTTCTCTGTAGCAGCTCTTCCTAGAATACAACGCACAGGGATCAATGTCCTGCTCCACAGGATATGYTTTTATGACCACACTGTCAAATAAGGTGTGTGACAAAAAATAAGTGGTACCTCCAAAATTACCAGCCAGACATGCAGATTCCATAGTGAGCTCCCTCCCCATCACCAAGCAAGCTGGGTGAAAAACTGCTTTGGTGTCCTTACTAGTCCTCCTCACAAAAATGAAGAGATCCATACATGGAAATGAGGAACACCTGATCCAATTCACCTCAGAYTGATCTCCATCCTGCAAGTTTCTGTTACTCTCTGATTGTTCCCCACGAGCATGCAGTCAGTTTTCATTTACTATATTGTTCTGTTACCCTCTGTGCAAAACCAGAGTGCACAGATCGTGTGTATTTTGGACGCGTAGTGCTGCCCCCCTCGAACTCAGGTCGTTCGAGTTTTGGTTTGTCCGTGAATCAATGCATCACAACGGCCAGCAAAAGCCAGCACATTTTAATTTTATTTAATTCTTTTAATTTCTGCTTCAGTCCAGCAGCTGGTTTGTGCTGTAACTCCATTCTGTCGTGTCYGCTTTCCCATCTTTTGTGACGTGTCTCATGAAATGTGTTGAAAGTGACCTACCTTGGCCTGTTCACGATATGCTGAAAAAAATGCTAATCTTGTCATATTTAGCAGCTGCGTTCAGAAATGCTACTGTAAGCCTAAGAGGGCTAACCAGCACTCTTGCAAGATGTCAGAACTATCAACCATTACCCTGTAAGTGTACGCACTCCTGTGACATTACTGTGTTTGTATGACGCATGTTGCAATTAAATGAATGGATGAGAGCAGAGGGGAAGTGACCAGAGAGCAAAGCATTCATTTAGTTCTTGTTGCATGTAGAGTTTTTTTGTTCTTGTTCTGTGCTTTTGCTGATGCGCCACGATTGAGGATTTTAAGGTTGTTTTGATTTTTATTTCTTTTTTTTGTTGTTGTTGTTGGTTTTGTAATTATGGCTGATGCTATTTATGATTTTGGGTAGTTACTGTACAGAATTAATTCCTGATCTTTACTATACAGCAAAGAGGTGAGCACCTTCATATTGAGAGAAATTGTTTCACCTGAAATTAAAAAAAAAGCAGGGTGAGATTGAGTCAATCAGACCCTCAGTGGATATAAAATATCRTCCATTGAACTGAGTGAAGTTATGTTAATAAACACCGAGGGGTGAGGAAAGGCTAAAGTTAACCTAATACCAAAATAAATTGTGTTTATCAGAAGTTTTAGAATCATAGAATCATTGAGGTTGGAAAAACCTCTAAGAACATCGAATTCAGTCCAACATTGCCAAATGGCATTGTCAAATATAGAGCATCCAGAAAAGTGAATAAAAGCCATTTAGCCTAGAGTTGTGTGAATTAATCACTATCCCACAGTCCACCTGACTCCTTGCTCCTTGTACGAGAAGCCCCCAGGTTTTCATAGATCCATGGAATCATTAAGAATGGAAAAGAGTTCCAAGATCTTCATCATCATTTTGTTTAGATGAGGTGCAATTTCAGACATCTATTATGCAATACCTTTTCTGATGATCTCTCTCCTGAATTTCACAGCAGTTTTATAAGTGCAAATCAACACTCAGAGATGTCCTGACACACAAAGCCAGCACTCCAGGATTTTGCTAAAAAATATTTAGTAGTTATCTCTGACACAATTAAGAAAAAAAAAAAAAAAAGGGTTTTTTAGCAATATATAACTGTATATATAGTTATGGGTTTTAGTTAGAAAAAAAAAAATTAATATGAATTTTCTGTGTGATTTCATATCTCTTTGAGATATTTAGGAAATAGACCAACGAAGATGTTCAAAAATATTCAGTCAACAGCCTGGCACTGTGCAAAAGCAAATAGAAATAGAGAAGAGCAGTCAGCAACTCCATCTTGTACACAGAGAGCAGCTGAAGACTAAGAACAGTTASGTAAAATAGGAATTAGTTTTAGGAGGAGATACTTTGAAATACAAWGTTCGCTACTTAATGAACATCCTGATGAAGCACAGATGTCAAGCTGGGCCTTTGTAAAGAAATGAATTCACATTAAATGCAGTGTTTCTGAAAGATGGGACAGTGATACCTCTCTACCTAGTCAAGGGCAAGAAGAGTTCAGCCTGAGCAGGAGGTGCTTAAAATCTAATTAAATCCAATTATTTTGTTTGTTAAAGTATGAAAGTGTTGGTAAGGTTCCCTGCTTTTCAAGTCCTTGGTCTGAAGATGTGACTTATGCRTGGGAAAGTGAAAATTAAAAACCTGTATTATTTACTGTGTTTAAGTGTTATCTCAGGTGTTTTAGAAGTGATCCTACAGACCTAATTAAATTTTTGGGAAAGACTGGAAAAGATGTGACAGGGAGATTACTGAGGTTCCTGAAAGCCATGTAAACTATGTGTAGCATTTTGTGATAAACTAGATACTACAATTTATTAAACACGAGCTGTGTTGAACATTTCATTACTAATGACATCCTGTGTCTTCATGGTTTGCTCTTTACCCTTCTATTTGAAATATTGTCACGATTATTTTTCACACACATTTATCACTGAGGTGATGGATATGTACCTTTGGCCAGAGAAACTGGATTCCTGGTAATCTAAAATTCACAAATCCACAGGGCAGGAATTTATATGACAAACTCAGTCCAGGTTCCCTTCGAGGTCAATGGATAGACTTAGGATGTGGTAAAGAGCTTCCTTAGGGGGCAGATTATTTGTTCTTGTGTGTCGATACTTCTTGCTCTTCACAGACAATAAAGGCAATGTAAATATGGATTTAATTTAATGAATAAATTTAACAAATAGATGCCATCATTGCAGATATGTCACAGCATGAAGTTAATCAATATAGACATTAATGACATTAATAGATGTGCTCAGTGCCCATGGGGCTTACAGCAGGAGTCACCTCTTTTTAGAGACATCTGTAGCAGACAATAATTATGCCTTTAAAGTGTATTTTTCTCTGCATTGACTTTAGAGACATTTTAAAAATTATTTCATTATCAATATCTACACTATATGTGTCCAAACCTTGGTGAGGTGAAKGTTGTTTTTCTGGACTACACACCTTGATGTCTTCATTGCAAAAGTTTATATTTGATCCAAGTATTTCAGTTAAGATTCAGCTTTTAAACTGGGAATTTCCCTTGTTTTGGAGAGACAGGACTAAATGGAAAAAAACAGCAATACAATCTTTCTTCTAAGTCTGTGGTTTGGAGACTTTTTGCTTCTTTTTTGATCTTTTCTCTCAAAAATACTTGAGTGGTTGAGACTTCAGCAGTCTCCTTAATCAGTGTGGATGTTCAGGGGAAAACTAAAAGCATGATTCCTTCAAATACTGGTCAGATTAGATAACTTTCCTACTTTGGATTTCTTTTACTATAAAGCTCTAATTTTATTATTCAACAGAGGAGTTAGGGAAAACAGAGGACACCATTATCTGTTAGTTTGTACTAACACTTCATGGAAAGTCCACATTCATGGCCTTGCTACTGGGAAAAAACCTTATGTTTGGAGGGTTTTTAAGGAAAATAACAGCTGGAAAATGGAATGTCAGCCTCAATAAAAATTTATATTCAAACTGATTTTTTTTTAAGTAATCTTTAGTCTTTCCTCTTCCTGTTGGAATGTGAACAAGGCTTTTGCTGGACCTTTTTGAGARCATTATCTTCTGAACAGCCAGTTGAACATTTGTTATTCTCAGAACTTTTATGTCCATCCCCCAAGTTTCTTGCCTGTCCAAAAGAGTGGAGAAAGAAAAGAGGAGGAACATCTTTGGCTGTTACACTCCTGAGAATTCCACTGTATCCTTTAAGATCTCCATTCCCTATTGCACATAAACTTACACATCTCACAGGACCTGCTTTAATTCTTCTCTCTTCCCCATGTTTTTGAAAAAAACCCAACAATTTATCATCATCCATAAAGACATTAATATCTCTCAAGTTTTTCTTATCATTAAAATCTTCTTTTCTTCTTTATAGAAATCAATAAACTTCAGAATGTGCTATTTAATGCCTTTTCTTCCTCACTTCTATGACAATATTTAAGCCAACATCTCTAATAAGTTGATTGTGGCATTGTATTTCAAGATCCTACAAGCTAATTGTATGATTAATCAGRTATAATTAATGCCAGAAGACTGACAATAAAAAAGACTTCCTCTGCATATTTCCCTACATTAATCTCCCAAGAGTGTGGTGAGACAGAACATATTAATAGACAATTCTATTCTGACTTTTAGAACAAAACACATTTATTGCTTTGTCTTTTATTGTTGTTGTCATTAATTCTGAATATAAATGACAGAAGATAGGGAGARATGATACTTTTTTGTCCAGTTTATTACCTTGAATTTGATTTCTTTTTAATTCTGTGATTAGTTTAAGACATTTGTATTCTTTGCATCCTTTTTTTACAGAGATAGCATTATTCYATAATCTCTTCCTCAATGTTTCTGTTCCTTTTTATTAATTTGATTGCATATCCATAGAGAAAAAGGACTAGAAAGGACCCAAAAATCTCTTTTACACTGGCTCACTGCTGTACAGATTACTTCTTTTAGAGATCATCAAAGCTGGACACTCTGTATGCTCTCCATCACCCTGTTCCGAGGTTGTTCCTCTCTTAATCAAAAGCTTTTGGCCAATGTCTAATTTTACAACCCACAGGAAAGGTGTTCTCTGGTTCAAGAAGACTGGAGGCTTGGTGTCCATCAGATTTATGACTCAGGTGTGTTTAGTGCCATCTCCAGGCAAGAGTTATGAATTTATCCCCATTAGGGCCCAAAGTCTGACTGAGAGACGACAGCCATGAGATGTCCCATTCCCAGTTCACTACTAGAGGGAATTTTGCTCACAGAGTTCTTGGAGATGTGTTAATTCCGTCTTCACTGCTGCTAAAATAAACACATCGTTTTGGGTTATTGTTGAGCTTGTGTTAGCAAATCCAAATCTGTCTGCAATCTGTACCAGATAGATAATAGCAGAGGGGACATGTGAGTTTTAAAAAATATGCAGCTCTTCGAAAAAACTTTATGGCTTTTTATCTTCCTTTGTCTTCCATCTGTTTTCTTCACTTACCTGAATGTAATCAATAATATTCTTCCCCTCTGAAAATTAATTGTATTAAATAATTTTCAGATCAACATTTGCTTTCTCCTTGGTCTTTTTTTTTTTTTTTTTTTTTTTTTTTTTTTTTTTTTTGCTGCTCAATCAACAAATTACACAAAAAGATGCACAAGTCTTGGCGGGACCCTGCTTTGGGGGAATTTCACCAGCTGAGTGCTCACTTCATTTAAGTAGCACATTCATTTCCAGCCCTTTTGTTTATATCTGCTGAGCTTGATTTCCCTCTGAAACCTCTTTATTSTGAAAGAATGGAAAGTAGTTAAACAGTGGAATTGCACTTAGTATGAATAAGAKWATAAAGTCAAGACCTTGAGGAATARTTTTGAGTGGAAGAACAAGAACATGCAGGAGGGTTTAGCTTTATTTGTATGGCTGGTGGTTTTTTGGCTTTATTTGTGTGGTTGTTTTGGATWTTTTTTTGCTGTTCAGATATATATTTATACACACACACACAGAAAACCAACCAAATAAAAGGGGTTTCAAACACTCTACTGGGATTAAGCAATTGGGTGAGAGGTTTATAATTGTGCTGTGGTAGCAGTCTGAATCCCCTTAGCAAGATTCCCCCCCTCGWTTTTGGCACAGGGAAAATTCCCTCTTCTAATAATGCAAATTAAAATAGCAGCAGAGAGCATTAAGCATTATTAATGTGCCATTAGTGTGGCAGCGTGGAGAAGGGGGAGCAAACTGCGGTGTGTGTGCAGTCAGTCTTTCRGCACAAACGGGAATGTGGCGCATTTGTGTGCATAATTATGCGGTGTATGTAATCCCCCAAAGTCAGCCAGCAAAATATTTCCTGTGTTTTCTTCTTTAATTAAAGCCCGGGTTGTTAATTGCCAGGCTGCATTAAAGTTTCTTTCCCTCTGTTGTAACAGGAGGCTGGCTCGCTCCACGCTGCTRCTGATCCCCTTGTTTGGAATTCACTACACGGTGTTTGCCTTTTCTCCTGAGAATGTCAGTAAGCGGGAGAGGCTGGTGTTTGAGCTGGGACTGGGATCCTTCCAGGTGATTATACACCGAATTCTGATTTCCTTAGACCCAAACCTCTCCTCTTCATGACTACTTTGCATGCACAGCTCTCAGAGTATCTCTCTGCTAATTTATGTGGGTGTTTCTATGTCAGGATTTGGGGTTTGTTTCTTTTCTTTTTCTTTTTTTAACTCCAGCTGTTTTCTATCATTCCTTCTAGATTTAAATTATATTGGGTTTTTTTTTCTCTCCCATTTCCCTAGGGTTTTGTTGTCGCTGTTCTTTATTGCTTCTTGAATGGGGAGGTAAGTCTTTTAATATTTTATGTCTCTCACCTATCATCCACATCCCATTTTCTTGTGGGAGTATCTGCTGTTCTAACTGTCCATTCTAACTCATCATCTGCCATAATCCTTGATACTTTAGGCTGAATCTCACAATTCTCAGAAAAAAAAAAAAAAAAAAAAAGAAAAAAAAAAAAGGAAGAAGGAGGAAAAGCAAATAAAAAGGAAAGGAAAAGGAAGAAAAGGAAAAGGAAGAAAAGGAACAAAAAAAAAAAAAAAATAAAAGAAAGAAAAAGAAAAGGAAAAACAAAGCAAAAGAAAATGTGTGATGCCTTTATTAAACCAAAACATTGGCCTTACCAGAGATGACGGCTCAGATTAAGGCAGGGTAGGGTGCATATTGGTTTGTTCTTTTTTTGTCACCCCAGTTGCAGGATTTTGCAGTGGTTTTGCTAAACTTTGCCCTGCTCTTGCCAGCCCACACTGCCAGCGTGATCAACTCTGTCCAAGAGGTCTGGCAYATCCATGTCACCACCCAGTTTGGTGTCATCAGCCAGACTGGCGAGGGTGTCTTCAGTCCCATCACTGAGATGGTAATGAAGATGGGGATGTCCTGGCACAGGGTGCCCAGAGAAGCTGTGGCTGCCCCTGGATCCCTGGAAGTGTCCAAGGCTGGATGGAGCTTGGAGCAGCCTGGGACAGTGGAAGGTGTCCCTGCCATGGTAGGGGTGGAATGAGATCATCTTTAGGGTCCCTTCCAACCCGTTCTATGGCTTTGTGTTGTCCAATAACAACACCTGGAGGACCCAAGAAGTGTTAAGGTGTTGGGCTGAGCAAAACCCACCTGGTGTGGTCTCCTTCCCATCTTGCAGATCACCCACCCACTCTGTATCTTGCCAGCTTTCCTAGGAAAATTTGGGGAAATCGTGTCAAACCCTTCAGTGAAGCCCAAGTTTTTGTAGGTCCTTGGCCTTTTTTGCTGCCACCACCCAGCTGTTGCCACCTTCTCTCTTGAGCCCTGCCACCTTCCATCCCTACTCACAAGCAGCCCGAGGGTGCCAGACACCCAGAAACCTCCCCAGACACCACCTGGATGATTTGCAAGCCTCACATTCCTCTCAGCACATGGCAACTGCTGCTGTTGYTGGCATCAGTTTCCTATGTTTGTGTTTTTGTCTGATTGACCTGTTCCGATCTGCATTTCCCTGCCTTTGTTTATTTGACTGAATAACTGAGGAAATCATTTTCTGAATTGATGGAAAAAGGTTCTCTGCTCAAGGCTGCCTTAAAGAGGAATGTCTAGAGTTCACCCATTCTCTCCTCTGCTGATACACAGCTCCTGTGCAGTCCAGCAGATGGAGTCTTTTCCTAAAATAATTTTCTTTTCTTCTCCCTGAGGGGACTGGGTGAAAGTATAGCCTGGCATTGCTGGTGTCTGGTACAAAATGTCTCAAACTCCTTGATCAAAGTGATTCCTTCTCAGATAAACTTTAACAATCTCCAAGCTCATCAGACAAACTTATGGGTCCTCTTTGCTCATGGGCTCAGTTGCAAGATTATTTTTAAAGACCCACGGTGTTATTAAATAATTTGCCATAGTCCAGTCCTAAGTAGCTCAGCAGGTGAGATCTGGATCATGCCTTGCTGGAATTCCTGGCTGCATTCCTGCTTCACCAGCTGGCATTACTGGATATCCACCTCTCCTACCCACAGCTGTTGTTTGCTGCGCTAAAATAGCACCCAAAAGGTCACCTTCCAAGAAAAAAAGCAGTGTGTCAAACTTTGATTGCTGGTTTCTTTGGCTCCTTATTATATCTTTGGTACTGGCTATTTTTACCTACAGTTGGTGCTGATCAGGTCTTCCACGCACCTCTGGCTGATCCTAAATTATCTGAGGTCAGACACAGAACCTGGGCAGGGCTGTAGCTCCCACTACATGCCTGGACCTCTTCCAGCTGGGGAGAAGTCACTTCAGATTTTGCTGAAATGAGAAGTTTAATAATAACCCTAAAAACGGTTCTGTTGAATTGTGGGGTTTTTTCTAATCTTGATAATTTGTCAGCATGTCCTCGGGCGGCTAAGTACATAAAAAATGACCTTTTGAAGTTTCTCCCTAAAGGTGCAATCAGAAATAAAGAGAAAATGGAGGAGCTGGAAAGTCAACCGGTATTTTGCTGTGGATTTCAAACATCGTCATCCTTCTCTAGCGAGCAGCGGAGTGAACGGGGGGACACAACTCTCCATTCTGAGCAAGAGCAGCTCTCAGATTCGGATGTCCAGCATAAATGCGGAGAACCTGGCGACATGAGCAGCTAAGGAGAGCAAAGCAACCAACGAGCAAACCAAAAACCATCCCTTGAAAAAGAAAAAAAATGAAATAATAGTTTTGGTGGTGGTGCAGGTCTCTCTTCCTCTCCTCTCCTCTCCTCTCCTCTCCTCTCCTCTCCTCTCCTCTCCTCTCCTC